ATGGGCAAGCCTCTGACGTTCTGCTTCTGCTGCCTCTTGCTGTGCCTTTGCTGTGGCAATGGCATCTGTGAATGCCTGCACCCGCTGAAGGTAAGCTGCCAAAGTCTCGTGGTCCCCTTGGACCGGACAGGCGGGAAGGACCCCTGTGGTGACCGGTACTGCAGCTTCTGCCTTGGTACTGGATGCCACTGGAGTCGTTCTCCTGCTGAGTCGTTGTTGCTGATACTTAGGCCGTGGAGGTAGCGCAGAGTGGCTACGAACTGTGATCCTGGCACTGCGTCTTGGCAGTGCCCCGATGTCCTGTTCTGTCGACATCAGCGTGGGATGATGTGGTACTTGGAAGTCTCGGTGTTCACAGGCACAGGGAGGGCAGGGAGGGTGTGAAGAGGGTAGAACAGAACAAGCAATCAACATACAGTCCCCTGTCCCAATCTGGACTGGACTCCTAATCAAAAGAAAAAGATGATCTTTTCCCCCCTAACAATTCAGTTTCGAAGATAATAATTAAATAAAAAATAATAAGAATAAAGAATGATTTAAAATACGAAATTTAAATTGTCGGTAGATCCGGTGTCCGTTGAGATCACCTATGTCCGGGAGTTCACCGTTGTTAGTGAACTTCCCAGGAGTTGCAGTTCTGGGGTAAACGATTTCAGACAGTCTGCGAACTGAAAAAAAATTCGGACAATTAGGAATAAACTTCAAAAAAGGAAAAACACTCGAATTTTTGAAAAAAACGTGAAATTTCGAAAATTTCAACCTAAAATAGTCCGATTTTCAGCAAGCCGAAGTCCACATTCGGAATTCCAACAATTAGGGGGGGGGGGGGAATTCGCGAAAAATTCGGACCTCTACCCTAATTTTCCGCGATTTCGCGGAATTTACGGTTTATGGTTACAGAAAACACGAATTTTCCCCCAATGCAGAAAACCAAAATTATCGCAATCCTAATTCAATAGTATCAATACCAAATAGAATACCGGATTAGAAATAGAATTTTGCAACTTGAATCTTCATTGGCAATGCAGAACTACTTCGGAAAAAGACAGTGCTAATTAAGCAATCGATTCCCTAATCAAAATTACCCTGTGAGCAGATCCACTTAATTGGTCTGCTCCGATACCAAACTGTTGCATACTAGTGAGTACTTCACCAAGTATGGGCAGAACCAAAGATCAACCAATATAGGATGAGCATGTATGCAGCGAAAGTCTGAGAAATGAACTGACTCACATAGACCGAACTCACCCAAACATCACTAAACACACAAGCAATTGTGAGATGGTGGGGTCTGAAGCCATACATAGACAATGCTTTAGGCCCCGTACAACCATACACAGATGAATGGTGGGAGGAGAGACGATGGAGGTGGGAGATATGGACAGCGCCAGATGTCACCGAGATAGAATCCAGAAGGTCACCGATATGGTAGCCCAAAATGTCACCGAACAAAATCAGAATGTCGTGGACATAAGTCACCAATGTCGGAGGTACAGAATCCTAATGTAACCGATGTCCGATCTGCGAAGCCACCAGGTATCAATCCCAACTATCTCCAATGTCTCGAAACCGGTAAGTATCACAGCCTCCTACCACCGAAGTCCAATCACTGATCTCTGTCCAACTCGTACCAATAGTCTCCAGTCTGAAGAAGAAGAAGAAGAAGAAGAAGAAGAAGAAGAGAGGAAGAAGAATAAGAAGAAGAAGAAGAAGTCTGACAGAGAATAAGAAGAGAGGGCCAGAGCATTGGCGGAGATGGCGAGTAGCTCTAGGCCCTACCTGATCGTACAAGGTGGCGCCTTGGCTGCTGCAGGAGACAGCTGCGCTGCTGGGAGCTATGGCGCTCGTGGCTGCTGTCAGGTAAGCCTCCCTCCTCGCTCTCTCCACTCCCTACAGCCAGCCCTACACCTAGCGGTGCTGTCTCAGTGCTGCGCTCATACGAAATAGCGCAGCGGCATTTCCTCAATGCTGCAGTCCTCCTCTGTCCCGAAATGGCCGTTGGCTGGGCCTAAATACCGGCCGGCGGCCAGTTCGGCCTCTGCCTCCCAAGGTGGCCTCCGATCTGAACCATCGGATCTATTGTAGGATCCGTGGTGCAGCTCGGACCGGTTCTCGGGAAGCAGGCTGCCTAAGCGGCGGCCTGGTCCAAACGAAAACGTTTGGCCATTTCCCGCCCAGGGCCTGCAGCCGCAGGGCCTGGTCTAGAACCGGTTGCATAAGGCCAAAGGGGCGGCCTAAAAAGGTCCGGCCTTTGGGCCAGCCTGGCCTGGATTATCTCATCCAGGCCCTCGGAACCCCTCAGCCTCGGTGTCGGGCCTCAAAGGGCCCGTGCGGAATGCAGTATGTAACA